CATAGCAAGTCATAAAAGAGTGACAGGAGTTTTTAAAGGGTAGCGGGGGGCATATTGACTGAGCACACAAGGTTAGCTAATGCCTGGTGAGCAAGTAGTTTAAATGCTAATTTCAACTGGCGCATCCCACTCGCCCAAAACAGGAGCAAACGTGTCAAAAAATCCCCCCCGTCATTTTTCTCCAGCTGTGCTAACTACTTATGAGACACCTGCCTGCCATATTTTGATATCAATAAACGCTGCTTCCTCAGAGTCACCCTGTTGAATAAGAGCCCACACAAAAGCTGGCAGGCTGATCGATACAAATTGCTGCGTGTTGCCATCGGAGACATGGAAGAAATGGGGGAAAAAAAGGTTTGAAAACTGTTTGACTTACAAGAAACAAGAGAACGATGAGCGCCCATGCATGATTTGACATGCAAGGCAAAATATTTGGCTAAAGCTCACCACGAGACCTTCCTGACAGGTCCATTGGCTAGCGTGTCCACCGTTCGGATGCTTCTGACAACTTGGTGCTTTTTTCCTAAAAGGGGTATTATGCAAAAGGTATGGTCCAGTGCCTCCCATCAAGAGGGCTTTTTCTCCCCAGCGGGCAAATTTTTCACCTAATACCCCCCACCTGCCAGCTTTTTGCCTGTCCTATTGTTTATTTACAAGAACCCCCTCCTGTGTAGAGCGGCTGGATAATTGCGTTGGCATGTGAGACGTAAATAATTGCCAATTTTCCTCTTATTCTTGTGCGGCCTCTAACTACACTTCACTGTTGCTGCATTCTCCTCTGAAACTATTGGACACATCTTCTGTTTTCAATTACCCTAATTGGTTTCACTTGTGAGTTCTGCAGTAGGGCAGAAGGAAAGGTGCCTTTTCTTCCTCATCCAACCTGCATTCCCTTCAAAAAATAAGGCTCACTACTGGAAGCTTTATCAATTGCCTCTGCTACTTCAATCCTGAAAGGCTTTTTGGGGCGTTTTATTGGATGGAAGCTTTTCTCCCTCAGTAACAGAATAAAGTACAGCTAATTAATGCCTGATGAATCCTCAAGTGACTGTTGAACAAGGGTGCACTTTTTTTATTTCCTTGAAACCCAAAAGTGATTGACATCAGGTCTTTCGTTAAGCCCTCACTTCCAGGCCCTGCCTCATGGACCTGTCTTTGGTCCATGTTAATGAGAAACAAGATAAAAAGCACTTCACCTTGCTTCAAGTGCTCTGTGTTACCGTGGATTTGTTAGTGGACGAGGTTTTAAAAAAAAAAGGAGATAATATTTCTCACAATGCAGACCCATGGGCCACGGTCACCTGGAGGGAGCTGCTGATGATGGCTGTGGATTGGTGACAGCTCTGGTTGCTCGCTTTCATTGACTTCCCTCCATTGATATTCCTCAAGCTAGCAGCATCACTGTCAACATCAGAATCTGCTCTCGTATGCCATGGAGAGCTTGTACCTTAAAGGCCGTGATGAATAACCTTGATTCCTAGAACAGTACCGCTAAACTGCACTCTGTAAAAAAAAAAAAAAAACATCCACAGATCCAAGCTGTTATTCATTAGAGGAGATATTCATCTTACTGCCTGCTAATCTGTATATTTTTGTATATTTGTGTAACATCTTTGATCTGCAGTTGTCAAGATGATAGGCATTTTCTTTCTGTCTGTCTCTTTTAAATGCGTTGGAATTCTGCTTTTTTTTTCTTCCTGCGCTCATAACGAGAGGCTCTCTGCACTGCTGTCAACACCAAAACTCGGCTCCTAAACACATTTCACCACCAGCCTTTTGGCCTGAGATCCTTTGAAAACAGATGGATGGCTTTTAAAACTTGTACGTACTGAATCTTCATGAGCACATGCACCATTTAGCCATCACCTCTGGATTATATCTGCACATGCTCTAGAACGTGCCTGTGTGGATCCAAAAAATGTTTGTCAAATCATCTGTCCTGGGAACACTTGGCATGAGGTGCAAATACACCCTGAATGGGACACCAGTACACACACTCATTCACACCTAGGAGCAATTTGAAGTCACCAATCCACCTAACAGCATGGGTTTGGGAGGCGCGAGGAAACCGGAGAACCCAGAGGATAGCCTCATGGACACAGGGAGAACATGTGAAACTCCAGTAGGGACAGAAATCCAAGCTCAGGATCCAACCTGAGGCCCTAGAACTGTAATTTCCAACTTAAAAACCAATAGGCTGGATGAGATTTTGATAGGAATGGTACTTTGGGAGCCACTGAATATATGAAAAGTGGAAAACATGGCCAAAACAGATTGTATACCATTGATATCAACAATACAAAATTCTTTCTTTAATAAATACCTCTCGTTTAATGATGAGAGTTTTAATCACATTGGGCTTCAGTTGTCAAGCTGTATATGAACAGATTTCTTTGAAAATTGTTCACAGAAATTTTGAAAAATGTTTGTAGCCTATGAGAGCTCTTGAGTTCCTGTGTAAAAGTATAAGGTGACTCACTAACATGACCCTCGAATTATAAGATTATTATTGTATAATTGGCATGAGTTACTTCAAATGTATGTACAGACGACACTGTAAAGTTTAAACAGTTTATTTATTTTGATCACAAACACAAATTTAGTGGAAAAATTTTTGTGAAACTCAGTCTCTTCATATTACTGAACTGAAAGAAATCAATCCATAAGAAGTCCATCATTTAACACAAGTAAGACTAGCTATTCGACTAGGGCAAAAGAAATGGCACCCTATAACAGGAGGAAGAATTAGTGTGTGCCTGTGGAAGCTGATGCGCTGTAACGGCTGAGCTGCACGCCACGCTTAGGAGGCGCTCGTTCACATGTAGTCGTCATTTTGTCGTGTTCAGTATCTTCAGAATTAGCATTCATAGACGTACATACATGAGTACAAAGAAAATCGGAGTTACTGAAACTTTTGTAAATCTGGCATGAATTTTTAGTTCAGTCTGATGTACGAAAATATTTACACACAACTTTGTTAAAAACTAACTTATTTATTTATTTATTTTTATTATTATTGTTATTATTATTATTATTATTATTATTATTATATACATACCGTACATGCATACATAAATGAGGCCTGTTGTTACCAGAGCCACAAAATACATACCAGTGCACACTGTTCTGTCCAATCTCTTTTAAATTGCATTACAAACACTGGGGCAATTACTAGATGTAGACTTATTGGATGCTGCAATTGTCTGAAATTGTTTATCATATTTCATTTTCTTACTAGGTCATTGGTCAATTACAGGAGTCACTCATGTGTTTTATGTAAAATACAGTCAGTTTTCCAATACATGCTCCTCTTGTTCTTCATATACAGTATATATTGTATTAATAGGTCATTTGGTTTGATTAGGTAGAGTAGGAACTTACAAAAAAAACAACCACAACCATATGTCAATCAGGGTATTTGGAGACTGTGTTTTTTTCCCCCAGAAAACTTACCCTGGAAATGATAATATGTTCCCACAGCATTACCATATTCTCCTCATGGGCCCCAGGGTTAAGAGAAGGGGGATGCTTGTTTGTGCCTAGACAAGAACATGTGTTTTTGGTGACCTCTCCCCATGTAATCATCCTTTCCACAATGTACTGACTAATTATTATATATGTGTTGCATGGAAAAGCAGGAGGTTACGCTCCACGGTCCTATAGCCTCCATACAGCCATTGTTACACACACACATGTGTACATATAATTCAGGGGCGATTTTGCCTTATGTTTTGTTTCTTGTTGCAGAAAATAAATATGAACAGGCATCCTCTTTTGGGTTCAGTTAAACAGCAGTATTTTTCTCTTATTCTGCAGTGGTATGCTGTTTCCAATCAGGCCTTCTGTGGTTGAATCTGTGTCTGGGAGCAATCGAGCCCTGTTTCAGAGCACAGATACAGCCACCCACAGCCACCCCGACATTCACCCCACCAAATCACTGATGTCATTACCCTTGAAGCTTTTTTTCCTCCTTCAATTCTTCTTGTTCTGGTAAAGCCAAATCAGTCCATTAGTTCATTTTTTTCTAGGCACATTAAAACCTCACTCTGTGAAATTGTTTAGTGAACAATTTCTGCTTGGTTCTTGGCTCTGCTCTGTACTCCTACGTTGATCAAGGCAAGATATCAAGGCAAGTTGATTGGTTTACTTATTTATGTCGTGCATTGGCATGTGTCTGATCTGAGTCATTATCAGACATTGTAGAGTGCACCCAAGCATCTGAGCAACAATAATAGCATGAGGCCCAACAAAATGATCCAAATCAACATATCACAATGATTTCTTTCTTATTTCTCCTTTAAATCAGGTTTAATGAGTTCTTCACAATCTATCCCGCGAGTGTGCCTTTAACCTTAAAAGAGTTAAAGAGAGTTAAACCTCTATATCAGCATCAGCATACAGTGACGCCTAAAAGTCTGAGCTCACATTGAAATTCTGTTGTTTGTTGTTTTTATTTCATTTATAACTGGAAATAAACAGAAGAAATAATTAAAATGAAGAAAAGAAAATGTTCAGAATCTTAAATAGTTGTATGGCCACTGTTGAAATTTGCGACATTTGTAACTCCTTTGTACAAAAGGTCAGATATTTCTTGAGATTCATCTCTTCCACTGAAGAACGTGTTCAGGCGACACTCCCATGGTTTTGATCTAACATGAATCATCAGTTTTTACACAAACTTGTGGAGTCCATGCCAGCTTGAGTGCAAACTGTCATTAAAGCAAAATGGAGACATACCAAATACAAGGAAATTTTCAAATTTGTGTAAATATTTTATAAAAGGGTAATTTCGTCTCAGGTTATTGCTGATAATATTATTTGAAATGAAATGTTGTTGTTGTTCTTTCAGCTGCTCTCATTAGGGGTCGCCATAGTGGATCATTGGTCTGCATGTTTGATTTGGCACAGGTATTACACTGGATGCCCTTCCTGACGCAACCCTCCTATTTTATCCAGGCTTGGGACCAGCACTGAGAGTACACACCCAGTGGCTGGGTTGGTTCCCTGGCTGGGAATCAAACCCAGGCCACAGTGGTGAGAGTGCGGGATCCTTAGCCAGTGGACCACCAGGAACAATTAGTTGAACTTAAATATTTTGTATTCAATTTGTAAGAATACACAATAGAAGCATTTGCTTTAGTGGACCCCATTGTATTTCTTTTATTGTACGGCAAACCAGCCTGAAAGGTAAATAAGCACTAATAGAGGTGCCTTGGGGCAGGAATCACTCTGCCAAATCCTCGGCGAAGGATCTGTGGACAGGAAGGTTGATGACTGGGTTGCCAGACTGATAAGATCTAGGATAAGGGAAATGGAGATTACGTAGTGGATAATGTGTGCATGTCAGAAATACATGTGAAATACTTGTTTCCCCATGCAAAGGCTGAGAAAGAGAAGAATAATGCTCAATTTTTCAGGCATTTTGTGTGGATTTTGTGGACTTTAGTTGGGCTGGATTTTTTTTTTTGCTGAAACCTGTGAAGACTGGTTAATGATATTACCTCGAACACCATTGAACAGAGGTACAACTCAAATCCAGATGCTAGACTGTACAGTGGATGACTGGATGTTGTTGACTCTCATCTGCCTATTGTACTATTGGCTACTGTAGAAAATTCCCTAGATAGCCTGTAGCATAAGCCAAGTGTAATAGCCTCACGACTTAATTTTGTTAGAGGCTATGTCATTATTAATGATTATGGTCAAGCCACTGATGAAAAAACAAAAAAAACCCAAAAGGTCAACATTTGTACACTATCAAGTCTTCCATAACACATAATGGGTTTTATATATGATTTATGAAATAAATGGAGATAAAAATGCTGATATCTTGTCCCGATGTGGTTTAAAAGGCCCATTACTTTTATGTTTTCTCTCAATTTGACTGTGGTCAAAGACTTGCTCCGTTGGTTCTTTTACTGTGGACCAATTATGAGAGTTATCAGAAATATCTTCAAAATCTTTAACTTTGCATCGCTGGTCAGGATAATCTTTTATTCCAAACCAGTCTGACAGCACAGAACATTACAAGCCACATTCTTCTCCTACATAATAACTTGTTCTGGAAATGTACAAGTACCCGAACGGTGATTATTCGATTTTCGAGGCTGAGCGAGAGGCTCACAGAGGGAGACATGAGGAAAAGCAAAGAGTGATGCTCAGCTAATTGGCTGGGTCTCCCTATCACTTGGCTTTATGTCTATTAAATGGGGCTACTAAATATTATCCAGTCATTATCCCAGCAGTGCTCTTCTACCCTATTAGCATAATTAACAAGAGTGCTTATTAAGTGTGTAACCTCATTGCATCACACAGCTCTCTAATGCAACATTGCAGGCTTTGCACTCTCCCAAACCCCTGATTAGACATTAGATTCAAACTTTCTTGATAGCTAATTATGTTCAGATTAGATCTGATGGGTTTAAACAACACAGAAAAGCTTCACACCTCTGCTTTGCATGTGTAAAAACAGCAGGATTGTTTTTTTTTTTGTTTTTTTTTTTGTTTTTTTTTGGACTCTGCTGCTTCCAAGCTGTAATCTACCATGTCTCCAGCTCTGGAAATCATAAAAAAAATAAGACAGAAAACCATGCCTTCACACCATGTCATATTAAAAGATCATATGTATCTTGAATTACCATTTCAGCTCGTAGATTATAGCTTGAAATTCCGATAAATGATGTGGCAAGAGTCAGAGGGTAATCTGAGCTTTGAAAGTCAATCTCTCAATATGTAGCTGCCAGAAACCACTCAAGATGAGGTTTACAACTTCCAAGTGTAAAACTATTTATTGGCCACTGAAAAGAGTTTCTTGAAATGATAGCTCTGGGGGTGGGGGAAAGGGTTTGTGCTGAACTAATGCAACCATTCTGGATTCTGAGAAGTGAGGAGTCTATAAAGGAGTGAACAGGGTGCACCTGGAGTCCAGATCTCAGCTGGTTCTACAGTACATTAAGAAAGTGTTTTTTACCCTCTCTCTCTCCCTCTCTCTCTCTCTCTCTCTGTCACTCTCTCTCTCTCTGTTTCTTGCTCTCTTTCATTCTTAATCATCTTCCTTTCAAATCAAAGAATACGTCAAACAATGCTTTTCATTCTCTGACTTTTTTCAAGTACTCTGGCCTTCTTGTCAGAACATATAACAATACTTTCCCTCTTTTCTCTTCCTCAGAAAGCTTGAGCGTTCAGCTCTGGTAGGCCTGGGCCAAAGTGAGAACATGGCTCTGTGTTAGCTTTACTGTAACACTGACTGAGGCACTAATTACTTCATGGACCTGCCTTTTAACTCCCACACTGACACACATTTAGCATGTTGAAGCTATTACTCAAGCAGCTTTTGTGTGCATAATTATCAGAAGGGAGGAAACTGGCATGAAGCAGCAGGATCTGATGAATTCACATACACTCACTCACATACACTCAAACACACACACTTTCACCACTTTATTAGGAACAGCTGTACACCTGCTCATTCATGCAAATATTCTATCAGACACATATGTGGCAGCAGTGCAATGCATAAAATTATGCAGATACAGTTTGAGATTCAAGTAAGGTTCACATCGATAGTTACTTTGACTGTGGCATGGTTGTTGCTGGCAGACAGGCTGGGGTGAGTATTTTAGAAACTGCTGATCTCCTGGGAACACACATTTTTCTCTAGAGATGACCAAGAATGGTGCGGAAAAACAAAATACATCCAGTGAGTAACAGTTCTGCAGAAAGACTCTGTCTGCCTTGTTGTTGACAGAGGTTAGAGGAGAATGGCCAAACTGGTTCATGCTGACAGAAAGGCTACAGTAACACAAATAACTAGTCTTTACAAGCACGGTGAGCAGAAAAGCATCTCAAAATGCACAGAATGACAAGCCTTGTGGTGGATGGGCTACAACAGCAGAAGACCACATCAAGTTCCACTCCTGTCTGAGACTATATAAGTGTATGGGGGCCACCAAATGACAGTGGAGCATTCATAGCACTCTCAGTCATAAAGTACTGTACCATTACATATATTCCTTCTTTCTGCAGTGGTATCATCAAGGACTTTTTTTTTGACCATAGAAATGTGAATATAGTAAAAACTGCATGCATAAGGAATTTTAAGGTACACTGTACAGCCAAAAGTATCCTGACACCTGACCATCACACCCATATGTGTTTCTTCCCCAAACTGTTGCCACAAAGTTGGAATCACACAATTTTATAGAATGTCTTTGTATCCTGTAGCATTAATATTTCCCTTCAAGCAAGCTCCATGAAGACATGGTTTGCCGAGGTTAGAGTGAAAGAACACGAGTGTCCTGCACAGAGCCCTGACCTCAACCTCAATGAACACCTTTGGGATGAACTGGAACACCAACTGCACCCCAAGTCTTCTTGCCAGACATCCGTGCCCAAACTCTTGTGGCTGAACGGTCACAAATTCCCAGCAGCCACGTTCCAAAATCTAGCTGAAAGCCTTCTCAGAAGAGTATTGGCTGTAGCAGGAAAAGGGAGACCAACTCCATACAAGCTAATTACGGTAAACCACATGTACCTTTCCATGTAAAAGATATATACTACAGGTATAAAATATTTACTCTTTATGGTACCACCCCAGCAACAAGAAAAAGTAAATAATGGTCTCAGGATTAGAAACCAACCACTAATGAGGGGCAAGTGGGCAAATGACAGGCATGGAAAAAGTCTTTTTCCACGTCAGTGTTGCTGCTGTGCTGAGAATGATCCATAGCAACAAATGGGCAAGGTAAATTATGGTTGCACTTACTTATGAAGCAGAAAGGATGAAAACACACCCTATGTGAATGCAGGTTACATTCAGTTCTGCTGCCATAGCAGTACAACAACAAGCTTGTCCTGTCCATCGTGGCCTAACAATAAAAGTGTTCACCATGGTGTTAACTATATCACTATTGACAGCAGAGTTCCTCACATTAGGTGAAGTGCTGTCAATTATCTATAAGCAGAAGGATTGTAGACACTTCATTTTAATTACAACATTGCAGATGAACCTCCGTATTTGAGCAAGGGCAGGTTTTAATTATCTCATCTGGAAATATTAAGGTCAGCCACCAGAATATTCGGCCTAGATCTATGCACAGGCAAAAAAAAAAAAAAAAAAAGTACAACATTGCTAGGTTAGTGTGTTGACACTTTTATGTTGCTCTTCCTGCTGCAAAATCTAATTGAGAAAAATATGAATACTTGCTGTTTTCCTGTGGGCTTAGGATATCACAACAGGTGCAAAACAACATAAAGCTAAGCACCAATAACACATTATATAACACTTACCTTGGACAAAAATAGTCCTGCGAATACACAACGTGAATAGTCCTTATGAATACATTTATTCACAAATACACCAAACTTGACTGTGCGTGGATATCAAGATTATATCAATTAGCAATTTAACTTAAATATTTAATGTCTAGGTATATGAATATTATATATGCCACTTACGTAGAAACAAGCATAAAGGTTAACCTTATAAAGTTTTGATAATGTGATTATACAGGCATGAGTCAGTGGTGTGCGCGGTCCGCTTTTGCGGTGTTCTCAGAGTGGACACCTCCCTCCACAAATGGATTACTCCCTGAGAATCTGAGGGCACCGATTAGTTTTATCCATTACGGTACATTTGTGTATCCCACCATAATTGCTCTCACAGCGGGCAGTGGAAACACTGAGTTCGGCTTCGGGTTTGTGTTACAGGCCATGATAGTCTTCCATTTACATTAATGGGCCCCATTTTCCTCGGTAAAAGCCTCGCCCGTCCATTTCATACATCAGAGCCAACTCTGCTAGGCTGTAATTCATAAATGGTGGACGTGGGGACTTTTTTCTGTCTCCTCAAGCACCACCAAGAACACCTTTAATTTGACATTTTTTTTTGATCAAATGTTTTGCAAGAAAACATTGGCTAGATGTATAGCAAATATCATGTATGGTCCTACTATTTGTGTCCCATTTTACTCCTTTTTGTCATTAATATTCTCGCAAGGGAAACTAGAAATTTACAACTAGTTACAATTTGATTTGCAAAAAAAAGATTTTTTTGTACATGATTAGAATACACT